GTCCAGGCAAATTTCCAGCTAGCACAGTTCCAAGGGATATTCACCCAAGTCAGCTGAGTCACTCTGGAGTTACACATGAAAAAAAGGAGAGCAGATTTAGATCCAATTGTGCCTATGAGAGAATGCTCCCAATCCACTTTCCCTCTACAAAGCAGCAAAGTACTTGCAGAAAAAAACACTGGTGTTTTACGTTGCTTTGGATATAATGTGGGAGGCAACAGAGAATCAGGTCTCATGGCATGTGTGTTCCTATGGCTTTTGACAGAAGGTGAGATTTTTAAAAGGCTGCATCTTCTCAGCAGCCCAGCAGAGATAGAGCAGTGATGCATTTTCCAGAGCTGTCATTGTTCTAAAGTAATTTTTGCGTTGCTGGAACACAAAACCCCTCACAGTTTGAAAATTAAACAATGGGACTGACGCCATGAAAATGAAGATGAGAATCATAAAGACTGACTGCATATAAACACATTGCCTCAGTATGAATCTGTCCTGTTCACCCATGTGTCTATGCAGTCAGGATGTTTCCCCTTCCGTGAGGCCTAAGAAAGACCCTACACAGCTTACAGGAAACTGGCAGTTAGTGTGACCCTGCCCTAACACAAAACAGGTGACATAGAGCTCTGAGCCAAGCCAGGACAGACTGCAGGGTTTCATGCAGCATGTCCTGGACTGGGAGTCTTTGCACCCGAAAGACAAGGCTTTTTAAGACCTGGCTACAACGTGATAATTTGAGAACTGTGAACTCTTTTACTCCATTATTACCAGCTGAAGCCTTTGCTTTAACACCAGCAGTCAGGCTATAGGTGCTCTTGCACCTATAGGTGCTAGGTGCTTGTTACTGCTTGGTGGGAGACTCCAGGGTGCCGGGCCGGAGGGGTGATGCACCCTGCACCCTTCTGACTTCATCCTTGTTAATCGCAGCTCTTAGATCTCTCCCATACCCAATTCTCATGCAAACATTTGGGAGAAGAGGGCAGAGAAAGGCACAAAGCAGGAGACATAAGGAGCGCAAAGCCTCACAGAAACTCACAAACCGCAAAGCGTCTCTTCTGCCAGTTAAAAAAACTCTTCCCAGCTCCTTGCACTAGGCACGAGTTCGTGAGCAGGGATGCAGAGCTCCCCTCCTACTGAGCTCGCAGCTAAAGCCCTCCCCCGGTTCCCAGGGTCTTCAAATGAAGATTTGCATAGGGCTTCCAGACCATTCCCGAGAGAAGGGACAATGGCTCTCTCAACGCCCTCTTCCCCCCTCCCTTCTTCACTTACAAAGCTGATAAAGCCCTGGTGAAAAGGGGAACAAAGGATTTACAGATGGCAGAATATTGATTTCTGCAGTTCCAGGACTACAGGGAGAAGATGAAGAACCCCCCAGAAACTCTGTGAAGTTTGAGACACAGGCACTATCTCTGCAGCACGGACTCGGCGTCTGCTAAGATAGTATCTGATGAAGCAAACACTGCTATTCGGGAGGGATGAGCAGGTCCCTGAAAATTTGGAAACGCACAGAGATCACAGTCTGAAATCCCAGCGAGCAGTCTGTTGTTCCCAAACCTGAAGGCAGAGGCGCTTCCCGTGAAAGCAGTTTGCCAGCCGGCGGGCCAGGCCGGCATTGCCGAGAGCCTGCAGCCCCAGCTGGCGGTACGAAAAGCTATTACACTCCATGTCGTCGGGGATTCCTGCTCCTGTCCGTGCCCTCTCCTCTCTGCCAGCTACCACTGCACCTAGGAAAAACAAGAAAGAGAGAGCTGAAACACGGGTCTGTGGAAAGTGGCCTTTGATTCCACATTACAACAGAAGCTCCTTATCTCAGCACTGAGTAACTTTTAGGGCCATTACCTGAAGGCTAAAGCTTCCTGCCTCCACAAACATTTCTGTGCCTAGTACACACACAGCCAAGCTTTATGGGGGCTAAAAACATCATATTTCAGCTCAGCGAGTTAACTCTACTGAACACCAGCTTGCTGCAGTTGTTCAACTTTTGCTAAACTGAACTGTGATACAATTCAAAATGTTCAATTCAGGTGCTGCACATCACTGCATATCCAACAGCAGACATTTACTGGGTAGCCATGTCAGATTACAAGACTCCTGTCCCACCACCACACTGGAAACAGCTTTCTTTACATTACTGGCTACCAGTACTGCTTTTTTTTGGGGGGATAATTCTGTAGCATTTCTGCACTCAGAAGGTTCCCTGGGTGTTGAAACTTTCTCAAAATGCTTGATTTAGGACTGGATTTTAAAGGTGACAGGCTAGTTTCTAAGTCAAGCTACAGGCCCTCAAATATGTCAGCTTTGGAAAAAAATCACATTAAGTCCCTCCTGCAAGGTCACAGCACATAGGAGTGAGTGCAAGAGGAGGTTCCCACACCACAGGTCAGTAGGCAAAGGCAAAGCCACTCAGAGCTGACTGTTCATTCACCACTATTTCCCCCACACCTTTGTAAAAGCACATGCTATCAGGAGTGTAACCATCACAGTGACATTAACCACTTTTTTAGTTTTTCGTTTAGACTTGTTGGTTTACATTTGTTTAGACTTATGTGGGGAAGAAAAAGAACCATTTCCCACATCATTACATATCAAACACTTACACGTATTTCATACAACTGTATCAAAACATTATTCTCAATACTTTTTAAAAGATGTAGGTTTCTTCAAAGACCTGTCTTACCAAAATGAGAAGTTTTTCACACAGAATCTTTTGTGTCTTCCCACAGTCACTCCCACTTCACATCACATTTAAAGAAGAGGTGAATCAGACCCACTAAGACTTCTGACACACCAAATACAGAGATTAATTGCAGCTATTGAGATGATAAAGCCTAAGAATGTTGTTCCACTTTAAGTCGGCATAACTCTGACTGTAACCACTGCCACCACAGTCAGGTTCAGGACACACCTGAACCCTATTTTTAGTTCCTCTCCCTGAGCCTCCTGGAGCTCTATAGGTTGAAGTTCTCAGAAGGAACTTCTTTGAACTTGGGGCAGCTGTGCTACAAGTTATCACTACTATGTACTGCTCCCCATGAGCATTTTCAAGCATGTGACAGGAGGGAAGGTGTCAGGGATAACTAGGAAGCAGCTCACCTTGGCTGCTCTCACCTCCTGCTCAACGCTTACACTTTGCCTTTGGGGTTACTGCAATAAGCACAGCTCACAAATTCTTTTCACTTCAGAGAGTACCACTTTATGCTTCCTTCCTCATCCTAGACAGAAGTTTGCTTCTTGTTTTGACAATCCTTTGGTTTTCCCTCCTGTGTAAACATTAATGTGTGTTACTTAAACTTTTTTTTTTGCTACAAACAAGAGAAGTTTTGTTTATGTAGCTCCCGGTATAAAAACTCTAATTTGCTTTAGGATACAAAACTTAAATTGGTTTTATCACTTAAATATTACACAAAATAACTTTTGTATCTCTGTTCCCAAGAAAAGTCACGTGCAAACTCCTTTTTAGAAGTCAGATATTACACATCTCATAAGCCTGAATCTAAAGGATGCAGATGGAGAAAGGCAAAATCTGTGACGCCTGCTTCAAATAACAGACAAACCTCCTCCTTCTATGAACAAATATCTTTTTAGGAGGAAATAAAAGTACTTCCTATCATCCTCTCACAGACAAGACCTTGCCACAGCCCCTTCCTGAAGCCCATTTCCCTGCTTTCCCACTGTTTCAGACTCCACATACACTAGGGAAGTCCCCTCATTTTACTGCAGGGTTTTAGGTGTTTGAAAACATACTCTTAAACCATCAAGACTTGTACCAAAGCTTAAACAACAACAGTGAAGCTCTGATATGGAATTATAATAAAATACAATCTAAATATTTGCACCTTTTTTTGTTATTTTCTTTTTTGCCCCTGGAGATCTTAGGCTTATTCCAGCAATATTACTACTTTAGCAGAATCATCCCAGGAATCCACATAACTAAACACACATCAATGATTACAAAATGGCATCTCATTGATCTTTTTACTGTCATATTCCAAACAATTTTTATATCCCATCAATGGAATGGGTCCATAATGTGAAAAAGTCCTACTAATGAACAGAACAGCCCTGTTATGCTGTTGCTTAAAAGAAAACCCAAACACAGCTGTGCAATTGCTTCACTGACAGGAACCTCAACACAGTATTTGAGGGCTGCTTCCTAGGCCACTATGAATGAGCACACAGCCCCTGAAACTCACCCCTGCACATCACACCAGGTCACATCCCTCCCCAACTCTCTCTGTATGCAAGGCCATCAATTAAAGTGTTTCCTTCTATCCTGGAGAGCTGCGCGGCCTCGCCCAGCGCTGCCCCTCGACACGTAGTGCACCCTCTGCAGCCCCACCGGGCTCCTTCTCTCCCCTCGCGGCTGCCCCATCTCTAGACTAGCCCCGTCCGAGAAGCCCCGGGGGCCCTTCACCCCTAAAAA